TGTACCTGTTATGAAAAGTTATTTTCTTGTGTTCTTTCTCTTGTTTGCTTTTTGTTTGCTTACACAATCGTAAAGTAAAAAATGTGCGGGTTGATTTACGCCATCAATACCACCACGCATGCGTGTGTAGAAGCAAGTGGAGGACATTTTGAACATTTGTTATGAGTTGCTGTGTTGAGGTACAACGATGGCCTTTTGGACATATGGTACCTTGTTTTGGTGACGTGAACCCGCCTCCAAATTTAGTAAAAGTATTTTTGGATGGTATCTTGGATTGTACAGGTGGTTTGAAAGTTTTGTCACCAGTACATAATATAATTTTCTATACCAAATGGCTGACACGAGCTGCTACAGTTTGGAAGAGAAGTTGTTTGCACTAGTATGCACATGTAGGAGTATTGAACAGCTTCAATTCAATCCGTACATTTTATTTTTTACTTTACAAATGTGTCAGCAAACGAAAAGTAAACAAGCGAAACAACACAAATACTGTTTTTATAATAATAAAAAAATCTTCATTTTACTGTATGACATACAAAGCAATCAAGTGTGTGATTTTTATATCGTAAGAGTCGAAATTAATAGCTGGAGTTATTTCCTTTTAGCTGCTATTTGAATTAGTTAAGATTTAAATTAGTTGAAGATTAATTTTTTTTATCTGGACTCACAAAAAAGATTTCAGTACATGAAATAATAGTAAGTTTCAATGGAAAGAATGTTCTTTGATAAGAAAATGTTGTAGGCTGAAATTCTGGTGCAAGATGAGTTCAAAGAAACTTGTTGATTGAGTGAAAATGTAATCTTCACTTGAAAATCGAAAAGTTGAATTAACTTGACACTTACTGTTGTTCATCGAGAGAGTTGGATATGAGTGAAAGAATTCTGGAAAGCTGAGAATATGTTGAATCGTAACTTATAGCTCCAGAGGATTTTGAAGTAAATAAGTTTCTGTTGATTGTAGCTGATGAGTTAAGAGATGTTCAATGTTCGTACGTACGTGTATGCGCGCGTGTGTGTGTTATAGTGTGTTCCCATCAGGAACAGATGTAAGCTCCTCACTGAACTACACAGTTGTGGTTCTGAGAAAAACAAAGGAAAAAGAGGAAGAGTTGAAAATGTGTCTTGTATTTATAATGTTGCATGTCACGTGATAGGCTCGAATCACATAGACAGCTTTTTGGCGGAATTGTATTTTCGTTCAGGTCAGAAACTAGGTCGATACAATTCGGACGTAGTTGAAAACACGATATTAGCATTAATTGACCAATCAGGAGTCCGAGAAATATCAGGGCTCTGTGATTCACTTTTTGCACAAAATTGGACGAGTTATTTTCAGCTATTTGAAATGATGTAGAATTAAAATTCTACAGACACATGATCTTGTTATGGTGTGATTAGTAGTTGGGTTGATCAAATTAAATGCGGCTGCGTGTTTCAAGATATCAACATCCATACATTAAATTTAAACATCAAGGAAAAAAATTAAGCTCAGTGAACATTAATAAAATATTGTATTAGCAATGATATACAAATATCAACAATAAGTATAAAGAAAGTTGTTCCCCCTTTTCCGTAATAAAAAAGGGTAAGTTTAGCTAATAAATTTTGAGTACAAAATTGAATGTAATTTAACTACAAAGTTCAATTGAAGTCTTAGCTAAATACAGAATAGTTCCAGTGTTTTATCAGTGTAGAAAGATGTAATGTTCATGAGTGATATCAACAGGAATTAGTATGATTACTCGAATGAGTAATAATTAAGAATTAAAATGTCAATATAGCGCCGTGCCTTATTTTCCAAGAATTGAACTGCAACTGGTTTTTTGGTTGATAGCGAAATTCTTTTATATCGATGGGTAGGCTCCGGATAGCTTAGCGCCAGAAATATAGAAAAGATACTAAAATACGCGATTGGTCAGGAAATGGACCAATCCGTGATTTTAGAGAAAAATTCGAATTACTTGCGATGGTTAAATTGTCCTATAATAAATATCATGTATTTATTAACCAATGAGAATTCGAGAAAATGTAGGCGTGGCACTACAATCTTGTGCATTCTGGCAAGAGCGTAGATAATGCACGACATTTGTTCTATTGTTCTCATTACTTTTGGTAGGTGATGACAAGACTTTCGGACCACCTTGCACATTTAACAGCATCTATTTAATGTAGTTTCTTGTCCTTATTTTGGTGTGTTGAACCCGCCCCAAAAGTTTGTAAAAGTATTTTGATACACCCTGTATAACATCTCTGAGCATAAATGTAAAAAAATAAGCCTTTCGTATTTGACACCTTATATAAACTATCAAATCAAAAAGTATCCTTAACCGTTAAGTACCCCTGTTAAAACATCCCACACCCCATATATTATCTTCTTAACACATTGACAGCCAACGAAGAGAAAACTCATTAGCAGTTTTTATTATGACGTCGCCGACACGTTACCTCGTTCCAATAACAAATTTATTTTCGGGGATGCTTTTTAGTGTGAAAACAATGTAAAATAACTAAAAAAATTTCTTTATTGCCTACGATAGTTATTAAAGTTTTATTTTTTTTATTAATATTTTTGGTTTTGTAGCAATTTGAGGTTTTGGACGAAAGTAACCCCTACCACGGCTATCAAAAACTGTTACATATTGAGAACAGCTTGTTAAAAGAAATAAAACGGATAGAATTCATTAAGTTAAATAAATTCAATTTTTTTCTTTTTTACTGATGTGAAACTATAAAGTTTCTTTAAAAAAAAAAAAAATTGGCAAGGGAAATAACTCTTAAATTTTTGTGTTTGACATTAATTATTGCCCTTAGATTTAGATTTATTATGCATTTTAACCTTTGCATTTTTAATTACACCAATTAATGCCATAAAGATATTTTTATAACAATTTCAATTTGTTAAAAAAAAAAGACAGAAAATAAAAAAGGCAGATAAAAAAGAGTACAAAAAAAGTGCAGTATCATTTAAATAAATGACTACCTAATAAATGCTTCCCATAATGCAGCAGTGACATTTAAGTTGAAAGGAAAAGAAACACGAACCAGATTTTAAAGTGACTTATTTACAATTTCCTACCACTTACTTCTGGTAAGTGCGAGGCAGTACAAAGCAGGATATACTAGAATGTAATGCTATATAATGTAATATGTTTTTATTGTAAACTATGACATAATATTGGATAATTTTAGGACACATTAAACCAGGCTAAGAGTTAAGTTGAAGTAACATTAATGGATCATATTGTTTCTCTAATTTCCTACAAAAATGTCTCTTGGGGCACCTCGAGGTAATGTAATGGCTAGCAAGCTTGTCTTGCCAGAACAATTACTACTGATTAGTGAGTTTGAGCCTCACTGGATGCCCCATACTTTCGGCCTTGTGCCACACCCAAGCTACGCTTGGAAAATCTCTTGGGGTACCTCAGCATGGTGTAATGGTTAGAAAGCTTATCTTGCCAGAACAATTATGACTGGGTAGTGAGTTCATTCCTCACTGGGTGTTCCCATACTTTTGGCCTTGTGCCACATCTAAGCCGGGCTTAGAAAATCACTAGGGCACCTCGGCGTGGTGTAATGGTTAGCAAGCTTGTCTTGTGATGTCAGTTAGTACTGAAAAGTGAGTTCGATCCTCACTGGGTGCCCCATGCTTTCAGCCTTGTGCCACATCTAAGCTACGCTTGGAAAATCTTTACAAAAATGTCTCTTTTTGGCAAACATATTTTGCTGGCTGATGTATCTGTTGTCTTTATTTTGAATATTTGACTTTACATTTCTGACATGAGCTTTTCTACTTTACTTTTTTTTTATTTTAATCAGTTCAGCTCAAGCAAGGTGATAATGCCACTAAGATGCAAAGGGCTACTGGGAGTGAAAGAGAATGATGAGACTTTAAAAGAAACTAAAGACCCAATTCTAAACAAACAGGAAACAAGGGATTAACCTCTATTCCTGTTCAAAATACCAGGGAGGAGTGTGAACTGGATGGTAGGTGAACCTATCTGCTCTTATTAAGGAAAAAAGAAATAAATAGTAAATAAAATTTCAGAGTTTAAGCAGAGACGTTAGAAGTATTGAGTTGAAGTAGACTTTAGATGGAACTGGAAACTTGGTCTTAAACAGGAAATAAGGGATAAAAGACCATGGAGGAATGCAAAACTAAATCAGTGGTCCCCGCAAATTTTTCTGTCTGCCTCCCCTTTGACTCTTAGGACACATCCCTTGCATATTCCTCTCACATCCATGTTATTTTATTTTTTTTATATATATAGTAAGGTTCACCCTTTAAAAAGCATGGGGGCCACTCAAGGTAGAGTGTTATATTAGGAGGCAATTTGGATGGATAGGAGTGACAGATAATGGTTAACCCTAGCCTTGAACAGATTAAGATTGCAGTGATTGGGGAAACACAGAGCAGTGGTTTGCAGGAAGAAGCTGTTTGAGTGGAATTTACTTCTCACCAGTGGAATATGAAGTAAATGAGTGTGGTTTGTTACTATGTACACGGCATGGTGTATCCTTGCTGTGAAGGTTTGAATTGGCAGGACCAGGGAATATAGTTTGTCCGGGCATTTTCCGTGGAAGTAGTGATAGAACAACTAGAGACTTACCACATCTGCTTAAAACTAGATCTCTGTCTGATTCACTCCACATCAAAACCCGTTGGCTGGATGTGAATGCTAAGTACACAAAGCTACAAGTAAAAAAAGTTGTTCTCTGCACAGGGACTCACATCTGGCTCTTAAAACAAATCCCCTCAAAAAAAAAAAAAAGAATGCACTATGAAAAGAACCAATTACAAAAATTACTGCTAAAGCAAATATAAAAAAGAATACTGAGTCATGATCCACCCCATCTGCTTTTAAGGATACCACTCACAACACTGAAACTAATCGCAGGTGAGCAGGCAAGTTATAAACGTCACCACCAGTAACCTCGGTCAACTGACCTGACACATACATCACTCTCCTGATCCTTCTGATCACTTCCTTGCTCACAAGGAGACATTCTGGTTCCTGTATGATCACCAAAGTTAAGCAAGGTTGAACCTAGTCAGTACCTAGATGGGTGACCACTTGAGAATACCAGGTACTGTAAGCTTAGATTTGTGGGTGATGTCATGGATAAGGGCTCAGAATTGTTAATCAGAGAACCATCTTCCAATTTCAGTTGAGCTAATTATATTCACTTACACACAAATAACCTTGATAAAGGTATGAATCCACCTTTTCTCCCCCAGCTATGGGTTAATTAGTAAGATGTGTATCACTAAACTTATCCCTTAAAATAAAATAAAGTTGTGTACAAAATATTTTTATTTCGGCATTAAATAACCCATAGAGGTCCAAATTTCAGTTGGATTCATTTTATTCATTTATGTGCAAATACTGTTGAGAAATGTATGTATCCACCTTTTCTCCCCAGCTATGGGTTAATTAGTAAGACTTGTATCACTAAACCATTATTATATCCCAAAACCATTATTATCTCCAATAATAAAATAAAATTGCGTACAAAATATTTTTATTTTGGCATTAAATAAATAATAGTGGTGTTGATATGCCACTAAACAAAAACAACCAAACCAATGAAAATATTTAGATTTCAGCATTAAACAACCGATAGAGGTTGATATGTTGCTAAACAGAAACAACGAAACCAACCAACCAAGAAGGAGACATTCTGCCATGGTCTTTTATATCAGCAATACAAAAAATTTTATCTTAATTCTTTTCGCCTCACTGATGATACCTTGTTATTTCGTTTCTTCTTTCCTGCAACCATATGTGTTGATTACAAGTTGTTGTTACTGACTGTAAAGGTGTGTGTCATGGTGGTTTGCCAATGGAAACAACACTGTTCACAATTTGAATGACTGACTAACATGTATGTAGTCACTGTCTACTATGACAGAAACGGTTACAAATCAACAACCGTCAATGACTTTTATGAGTAATTTTTTATTCTATGGAGATCAAAAGCTTTTCCCGCTTTTTTCAGTTTGAATTTATATGCAGTTAAGTTATTTGCAAGTGTGACATAAAGACACTACAATCAGCTCTTTACGTTTATTCCCGACACTGCTTTAATACAGGCATACTAATCTTGTTCTCTTTCCCTACCTACATAGGAAGGTCATCTGAAAAATCCATAGGGTGATCCAAATACTCTCATGGAATGTGACCAAATGAGGTTTATTTTTTAACATAGTCCTTTTGTGGTCCATACCTTCTTCCATCATTTTTGCAGTGCTTGAATTCCATTAGTGAAGAAAATTTAATCCTGTTGATTAAAAAAGTCATCAATTGCAGGTATGATACCATCATTGCTGCAATAAAGGTTCCCAGCCAAGTACTTTTCATGTTGGAGAACAGATGATAATCAGATGGGGCCATATCAGGAGAATAGAGAGGTGATCAACCAAAGCCACAATCATTCACAGCAGACATTGAAACCAAGGGTTTATGTGCTGAGGAAACAAGACCTTTTTGTCAGTTTTCCTAGGTGTTTGGACTTGATAGCCTTTCATGACTGCTTCAGCAAGTTTGCATAGTACTCTCCATTGATGGTGTGGCCCTTTTGAAGATGATCAATAAACACAATGTCTTTTGCATACCCAATAACTGAGGCCATCACCTTCCCTGGAGATGAAATGACCTTGGTCTTCTTTATAAGCAAGGAAGGGTGCTTCTACTGCATAGATTGTCTCTTTGTCTGGCTCAAAGTAATGAACTCAACACTCATTATAGGATAGACACTCTGTTTATTTATTAAATCGTATTTTTATTTTCATCTGTCAACCGATAAATTTTATTAAACATAGATATGTGCATTTCTTGAATATGCAGGATGGTAAACAAAAATAAATGTACTGTTTAATAAATAAATGGAGTCGCTACTCAAAAAAAAAAAAAAAAAAATCCATTACTTCTTTAGAAATTGCTTTGTTTATGTTTGGATATGAAACTGAGCAGATATGAATGTTTTGTGAATCTGTGAAAGATTTACATTTATAAGACACTATTTAACTTTGCCTGATCAGCAAAGCACACTTTGGCCAAGTCAGTCTAAATCACATTGGATCTAATGATGGTCTCCTTTGCCAGGGAAGACAGACACAGGTTTGAATCCTGCTGGAGAGCTCATATTTTTCTTTAATATGATTTCTCAAATATTCAGGCTGGTAGGCAAAAATAAATCAATATACTGTTAAATAAATAAATGGAGCGACTACTCAAATATGGGTATTGACTCAAAAGTAACATTTTGCATCCTGGGTATGATGATAAACTACATCCGCATCCTGGGTTATGACAATAAACTAGATATAGCAGCAAGGCCTCTGATCAGGAGGTTTTGAGGAGCATAGAACCATCTCTTAATTGCTGATGTTTCCAGGTCCACTCTAACCCACAGTGGTAGCACCTGTTAGGGTCCCAGCTATGGGCAAATAGTTAACCCTTGCAAAGGGGTCAAAACACTATGAAAGAATAAAAATAGGTTTTAATACCAGCAATACATTTTTGGAAAAAAATGATTACCACAAGTCATCATCATTATCATCATCACCTTGACTTTTGTAATTGTAGGGAGTGGGCTCCAAATGCACAACGGTCCATCAATGGTAGCCATTTGCAATTCTGGTATAGTCATACTTGTCTATTGTTTGACATTGTCCAACCAGTTTTTGTGTTGGTGTTCTTTCCTACGTTCACCTTCAATGCTTAGGCAATCATGTATCTTTTGATACATAACTGACGAGGCAGATTTCTTTCTCACAGTAGGTTGCCATTTCTTTCTGCAGTAGACCAGTTACCATCCAAAGCTATAGAACCCAGTCTGTCCTGCTATTTACCCATAGCTGGGGGGGGAGAAGAAGAGGATTCATACCTTTCTCAAGGGAATTAGCATGTAAGTGAATATCAGTCAGTTATGTGCCATGCATGATACATGCTTAGGAGATCATGTATCTTTCAATACATGACTGATGAGGCAGATTTTTTCCTGCAGCATGTGGCCATTTCTTTCTGTGATAGACCAGTTGCCATCCAAAGCTATAGAACCCAATCTGTCCTGCTAATTACCCATAGCTGCAGGGAGAAAAGAGGATTCATACCTTTCCCAAGGATATTAGCACGTAAATGAATGTCATGGATTTGAGTTGAATTCCTGAATCTGAGCTGATATTCATTACTCTACCATGCCTCCTATATTCAAACTAGTTCAACCAAATAATGTGTAAAAAAAAAATAACAGTAAAATAGTAATAATAACATCACAAATTGAAAATGCTTACGAAAGGTGTAAATTTACTCAAATTTATTAAGCATTCTTTAGCATTCAACATGCTCAAACCTGCTCTGTAAATATTGGCTTTCAAAGTCTCATTGTTTGTGTGACTTAGGTTATTTGCGATCATTTTTTCATGTATTGCAGCAGAGTATATATGGGGATGATTATGATAGGTTGAACATTGAGAGCCAATATTTACAAGGTGTGTTGAATGCTTGAGGGTTAAAGGCAGGCAAATTTTTGTAAATAAAGAGCTCTGTACTAGAAAAAATAGTGAATTAATCATGAATAAATCAAATCAAATCATCCCAGACACATAATTGAACAATTTCAAGTTACACAATGTCATCTTATAACATCTTTTAACATCATCAGTCTCCTGACCAGGTGTGGATATAAAGTTGTGTACCTGATCATCTCCACATATCTTGGTTGTGCGCCAATGTTTGAGTTAAAAGTTGTAGAGGTTCGCATTCAAGCATGGCATGTCTTTGGCACGTAGGTTTATTCCTCTCCAGGTTAAACGTCTATAAGATAGAATAATTAATTGCTATTGTTCTTGCGCCTTAATAATGTTTTTCTTATATTCTTCCACACTCATTACCCCCCAGTGTGTTTGTGGCTTTCTTGCTTTACTTGGAATTAAATGATTAAAAGAAATTGTGTGTGTATGTTTATTCTAATTCAGTGAAAGATCTAAAAATAATACTCGACCAATAAAATACATTTTACATTCTCAGATTCTACAGATTTTTGGTGCAATTTCTTTTTTTTAATCATTTCACCCCAAGCAAGGCAAGACACAAGGGGTTACTGAGTGTGAACAAATATATATAAGAAAAAGAAAAACATTATTAAGCCTTAGTTATTCAACTCAGATTTCTGAAAATGGATAGTTCCCTGGGGTGTTTACAGAGCCCGATACAAAAATGCTTATAGTGTTACAATTATGCAAAATATTGTTGTACTGCTGAAAAAAATTATCATACACAATCTCTATTACATTATACATTAAATCAAAACTTTAATTGAAATGAAAATTATAATAAATTTGTTGCCTAAACATATGTCGTAAATTGTAGGTTAAACAAACAATAACAGAGAAAGGTTTTATTCCCATGAATAGAAAGATAAACTCATATTTACAGAACTGAAATAGTCATGAAATATATAAAATATATATATATATATATATATATATATATATATATATATATATATATATATATATATATATATATATTATATATATATATATATATATATATATATATATTATATATATATATATATATATATATATATATATATATATATTATATATATTATTATATATATTATATATATATATATATATATATATATATATATATTATTATTATATTATATATATATATATATATATATACATATATATATATATATATATATATATGTATATATATATATATATATATATATATATATATATATATTATTATATATTATATATATATATATATACATATTATATATATATATATATATTATATATATATATATATATATATATATATATATATATATATATATTATATATATATATATATATATATATATATATATATATATATATATATATATATATATATATATATATATATATATATATATATATATATATATATATATTATATATATATATTATTATATATATTAGCTCTATCTCTGATATTGGTTTCTAATAAGTATTAATGCATATAATATATATAATTATATATATATATATATATATTTATATTTATATACACACACTATATATATATA